GAGTCGGGGAAGAAGGCTCTCCAGGAAGCCCATGCAGGATCAGCCGGAGCCCATGAGGGGGCGAGAGCACTCACAAGCAAGATACTACGCATGGGGCTCTACTGGCCGAATATACACCAAGACGCCACCAAATTGAACCGAGCATGCGTGCAATGTTAGACTTTTTCACCAGTACAAGGCGTACCTCCAGCCAAACTAACAAGTATCACTAGTCCATGGCCCTTTTACCAATGGGGGATTGACATCACCGAACCTTTCTCGGAAGCCCCAGGAAAAGTGAAGTTCTTGCTCATGGAAATCAACTACTTCACGAAATGGATAGAAGCCGAACCGTTGGCATGTATTGCTGGAAAACAGATGATTAAATTCATGTGGAAAAACATCGTAACAAGGTTCGGAATACCTAAGGTTCTGATCAGTGACAACGGATTGCAATTTGCCGAGAACCCCTTCAGATACTGGTGCACAGAGAGAGGAATAGAGCAAAGATCCACGTCGGTAGTGCACCCCCAAGCCAATGGGCAGACGGGGTGTTTAACAGGACACTAGTGCACGGGATCAAAAACCGACTCGGAAAAGCAAAGGGCAATTGGGTAGATGAAATGCCACGAGTTCTTTGGTCGTATCGAACCACACCGCGAACCAGCACGAAAGAAACACCATTCAACCTGGCCTACAGGGCCGAAGCGATGATACCAGTAGAGATGATGATGGGATCAATATGAACAGAGTATTGCCAGGAGCAAACAAACGACAAAGATTTGAGGGAGAATTTAGATCTTCTGGAAGAACCCCGAGAGCGCTCAAACATCCGCCAAGGCGCGTACAAAAGATTAGCGGAGGGGTATTATAATCAGCGAGTCAAAGACAAGGCTTTTCGTGTCGGGGACCACGTCCTACGGAAAAACGAGGCCAGCCATGTACAACCCCGCGGAAAGCTAAGCCAGAAATGGGAAGGACCGTACAAGGTGGTAGAAGCACATCGTAATGGGTCGTACACCTTAGAGACACTCGAAGGAAGATGGATCCCAAGAACGTGGAATGCAAGGAACTTAAGAAAGTTCCACTTTTGATCAAACCCACAAACCTTTACACAGAAGGGAGGACAGTTCTAGTAAAACATCCCACCACCGGTTTGATCACCCGGACCGACAAACGGACGCTTAGTGTAGTCTGATATGGAACCTTAGTATGTTGCAAACTAGTATGTATCCGAACTACATAATGACAATAAAAAGAATGTTTCGAAATGCGCTAATCTTAATATGTTATGCGCCATAGGCATGTGTGATGAATTCAAAATGAAACACAGCGGATAGTTAGTGGATCCACACGCACGCATACACATACTCACATAATGAAACACACAAAGCAACAAAATGACAAGTCTTAGAATAAAGTCGTAATGTGCAACAATACTTTTATACAGGAGGCTCAGCAAGCCCAAAATCCTAACGAAGAGTCGTCCAAAAGAACATGCTCAATACATGCAAAAGCAATTAACAATGTAGACACGCACAATGGAAAAAGGCAATAAATATGAACAACCATAGATTAAAAGACAGCACCAAAGCAAATAAAAGAAAACACAACCATTGCCGATTAATGTATAAGCAAATTCCTGCCACGAAAGGTCCAAGGCATACATAACAAAAGACCACGAAGGCCACAAGTTACTAGGTAACAAAAGGAAACAGAAACAAGGAAAACAAGCTTCACCAAATTTTTACACTCCATGAAGGGTAGCTCTAAAAGACTTAAAATACCATCGGGTCCATCACCATCATCTTCAACACCACCGGCCACCGGCCCGCCCCCATCATCCGTACGAGCACCATTCCCTCCAACGAGACCCACCGCAGCATCCCCACAATATCCTCAGCATCATCAAATGCACACAACATCATCACCCCATCCACGTCAAGCTGACCCAACCCAAATAAAACCAACAAAATCCATAGTTGCAAAGGCCAGCAGAGCATCATCCAAACCTGAGGAATGGCTTGAACGATAATCACTGGCAGACGGTTCATACGTCCCGACATCAACCCGTGCCTTCAAATTTGCCCAACCCGACTCTTCATCTGCAACAAACGTAGCATGGAGGATGCGACTGATACCCCCAGTGAATTCAGGATGTTTTATGAGCTTATCCATCATACGTACAAACGCGACTTAGAGTAACCAATCGCGATACGCCCTCATTGTTTCCAACTTACGGTCACGATCAACAACGTCACTTTCCAGACTCTCGTTTTGAATCATCAGACCCTCATTGGTTTGCGTCAACGACTCCACATGAGCCTCTAACGAGCTCCGAACATCTTCCAACACTAGTTTCTCTGACACCAATAAACTGTTCTTCTGGTCCAATCGGTGAGCGGCACCTTCAAGCTCCACCACCTGACCCTTCAAATCTGCCTCCCTCGCCGCCAAAGCAGAGTGCTCACGCTCCAAATTGTCGAACCGCTACACGCGCCGAGAGCCAGCGGCCAGATAAGTCATCGCATGCGCCGCATCGTAAGCCATGTTGTGGGCAAGGGCGGCATTGTTCATCGCATCTATATCCCCAACGGTAGCAGTGGGAAGAGCTTGTTGGGTAAACTCCAAGGCAGCAGAACAAACAGAAAAACGGGAATCCGCATGAAGACTCCACCGCGGAACAAAGATAGGGCCACCATGCAAGGCCCCTGCAGCAGAAGCCTCATGGTGCGACCGCTTGGCGCTATCCCTTGAAGATCGAGGATTGGCACAAGGACTCAAAGCAATCATAACAGGAACAATGGGCTGCTGAGATGCCCTTTCAATATCCTCAGACTGTTGAACGTCAACATCTGAACGTTGCAGCCGTTGCGACGGAGCAATTCCGCTTGAAAGGCGGTTAAAGGAAGACAGAGGCCAGCATCCAAAGTATTCAGATAAACACCCACCTTTCCGGGTGGCGGCGAAGTGATCACAACACCAGACGTCGTAAATTCTACTCCTTCAGCCGACGTAAGGCCGCACGCTTCCTGGAGAGTAGCAAACTCGGAGGAACTATGGATCAAACCCATGGAGGAAGCAATAAAGAAGATATCGAAGAAGAAGATAAGGAAGAAGAAACGAAAGAAGAAGGTGAAAAACTAGGAAAACCCTTTCCACAAGTTATAGGTGAAAGGGGCGGGATTTTTGAAAATCTCTGACACGGCCGACGTAACCGCCACGCACGTCGAACAGTCACATCGCCGAAGCTGAAGCGACGACCAAGCAAAGTCGTGACATGTGTATCAACAGTTAAGTCTAGAACATCATAGCTAGCTAGGGAACGCTATGATTACTGAACGGGGGGACTTGATGACATGCCCCTCAGAGCGAGCCAGGAATAAAGGTACTCCCCAGTTAAGGATCTCCAGCGAGACCCGGCTAGGCCCAGTATAGCCGCCCAAGTGGATCCCCAACTACTAGCCCCCCAGCGGATCCCCAACTACTAGATGCCCCAACGGGACAACCACGTGCAAGGCCCAGCCCCGCCAAGGGGCACCTTCCACTACAGGACAAGGATAACGGCTCCAGGCGACAAGGAACACATCCAGAGTATTATCGTCTGGACCAATCGTTGGACCTGACACAACGAGGAACACGACTCACCAAGACAACGGATCTTGTCGGGACTGCAGTCCTTGTTCCTCGTACGAACCAAGGAGGATCCTCAATATAAAAGGATCACCACTTTGACTTGAAGGGTAAGCTATCTCTCCCGATTCTCAGCCCTCACTCTCCAATACACTACTAACTTGACCATCAGAGCGTTTTCCCGGGACCTCCTTCTGGAGAACGGCTGGCGACTTTCTCTCTTTGTGACCTCTCAGGTTCTTCTCCGACGAACTCAACTTTCACCATCTAGGCAGTCGAAGACTAGGTCGCATCACCCTAAGTAGGGATTTTTGGTTATAATTTAGATCCTAAATGTTAACTGGTTTTTATTTGGCAATTGATAGCTCGGGAGTTGTAGGACCAGCAGCCAAGGATCATTCGTTTCATTCAGCTTTTCGATGTGAGTTTCCTCACTGGTTTTAGCGGGTCGAAGGCACCAATGCTGACCCAAGTTTATGCTATGTTAGTATGTTAGTTGTCTGTGTGACTCTTGCATGTGTTATGTGCTTATATGCTTATCGGGCTAGGGCTCGATGACCATTTTGTATGCTATGTATCTTTGTGATTATTGCATGTGTATGTGTTTATTATATGTATGTTATATGTATGATGGGTGGTGCCCGATGCCAGCCGGGGCCCTATGTCGGACGAGGTCCGATGCCAGGCGGGGACCGATGGCAGGGCGGGGCCCATTATATGTTTATTTGTATGTATGGTATGTGGTATTTCAGGGGAACTCACTAAGCTTAGTGCTTACTGTTTTTAGTTTATGTTTCAGGTACTTCCGGTTCCAAGGGGAAGAGCTCGGGTTGACTGCATCGCACACACTATATGGATTCTATTTTTCGGACAAACTCTGATTTTCATGATATTTGATACACTTATTTTCTGGGTTGTATGAACAATGTTTTTAGAATATTGTTTTATTCAAATTTAAAATTGAAAATTTTGGGTCATATGGTTGGGATGTTTCAAGTTGGTATTAGAGCCTTGGTCTGAGGGATTTGGGCAAACTCTCGGCAATGGTCGTGTCTGAACTCAAACTGAGGATTTGGTAAAGTTTTTTAAAAGAAACAAATTTTAAGAAAATGTTTTCCACAATAAGAAAGGGTGTGTTGCATGCAATCAACCGAGCTCAAGTAAGTTTTCCCAAATTACCCATACATATTATTTGACATGCTTTGATCTGTAAATTAGTGAATCGCATGCTAGTTAGGGCTAAGGATATGCTCAGTTTTTCATGATAGAATGCTATGAGAGATGCCTTTGTATGCCTATTGTATGAGCTTGTAGAGTTGCATGCTAGTACTGCTTGGCCAGTGATAGGGTGGCCTGATTAGGTTATGCTTGGTTTTGGCTACTTGAAGCTAGAATGCTGCTAGCTTTGTGCCATCTTCCGGTGGCGCACCACCATCTCTTGAAGTAGCGTCATCCTCCGGCGGCCCGCCACCATCCCTTGAGGCAGTACCATTATCCGGCGGCCCGCCACCGTCTCTTGAACCGACACCATCATCTGGTGGCCTGCCACCATCTCTTGTGACAGCACCGGCATCCGGTGGTCCGCCACCATATCCTGTGACGGCACTGCCATTAGATGGCCCACCACCCTCCGTTGCAGCAATCATGCAATCGATTTTAACCCAGAGTCGAACATCGCCATCCACTCCGACTCACACTACACCCCCCATTCCCAAACAATGGTGTGTCTAACCAATACATAGTACCCACTTCGCCGCCATTCTTCCCCAACACCATCAATCCTAACAACTTTCACACAACACCCATGATGCCTTTCGTGAACAGCTCACATGCGAACAACGCTATAACCGGCCCAAACGTTACACCACAACCGCAGAGCCACCCGTCCTTGATGGCGGGCACCATGTTAACATCACCACTCGTGCTTTACCAGCACATACCCATTACCCAACAGCAAATACCCATGACCCAACAGCAAATACCCATGGCCCAACATCAAATACCCATGACCCAACAGCAAATACCCATGGCCCAACAACAAATACCCATGGTCCAACAGCAAATACCCATGTCTCATACCTTCCCTACTCCATTTCAGCCGTCAAACTTCTACGGCTTGGTAACGCCGGACCTTACAACCTATAACAACATGTTAGTACAACCCTTCTTGGCAATGCAACAGCCTGGGTATCACTTCAATCAGTGAACCCCAACCCAAGATTGCCTAACACGAAATGTTACATCACCATTCGTCAAAGAGCTCCTGGAATATGAAATTCCTAACACCGCCAAACTACCCCCACCTTAAAAAATACGATGGCACTACCGACCCAGATAGCCACATCGATACATACGAATGGACCATGACGTCCCTCAAGATATATGAACGATTCTGGTGCACATACTTTCCCACCAACTTAGATGGAAACGCAGGGACATGGTTCAAGACACTACGCCCGGGCAGCATCAGCAACTTCAGTCAGCTGAAGTACCTTTTCCTAACTAACTTCATGCAACTCCGGAAATACAAAGGCAATTGTCACTCGATCATTGGGTGCAAGCAACGAGGGGAGCAGACAGTCAAGGACTATTTCGCCAGATTCACTAAAGTAACGCTACACGTCCCAGGGCATGACGAAGGTCTAATTGCGGGGCATTCACCTGGGGTCTGTTACCGGGATCACTATCCCAGAAGCTCATGGGCAAGCAACCTCAGACAAGGGTAGAACTAAAAGAGCGAGTGGAACGATTCCTACAACAGGAGGAAGGTGAAGCGTCGAAGCAGGCATACCTCAATGCCATGACAGCCTCCGCCGGAAGGCGAGGCCACCACCCTACCCCCCACCCTGATCCTCGGCAGGGGGGGGGGGGCAGATTCATGGGGCGAGACAGACGATTGCCAGGACACTTTAGATATTTCGTTAAAGACGAAAGGCAGGGAAGACGAGCAGAAGTCTATGCGTTCGACGAGAAACCAGCAGCAAAAGGCACCAAAACGAGATATTGTGAGTATCACAAAAGTAGGACGCATGACACAATCAATTGTGCAGTTATAAAAAGGGAAATTGAAGAAAAACAACTAAAAGGCAACGTGATAGAAATCGCCAAGAGCTTACGGGCTAAGTTCGACGCAGAAAACTCCAAAGATGCCACTAGAAGGACAGACCGTAGGTTGGAAATCTTGACGATACACCACAAAAGGGGGAGAGCGGAACGCACGGAGGGCACACGAAGCATCACAGAGGCAATGTAGGGGCTGACATTCTCCATACACGACCCAAGCCTGGTTGGTTGGAGTGGAGACAACCCCCTCGTCATCCAAGGATCCATCCGGGATGTCGTTGTCTACCGAGTATACGTCGACACTGGAAGTTCCGCGGACATCATTTACGAACACTGTTTCTGGCGGCTACCGAACGCCTAGAAGGAAGGACTAAGGCCAGCTACGTGCCGACTCACAGGGTTCACTCGGCACAGTTTGTGGCCCTTAGGTACGATCCACTTTCCATTTACACTAATCAGCCAAGACAAAACCAAGCGACAAACTGCTCTGGTAGATTTCATAGTCATACGACACCCATCATAGCATAATATCATATTGGGAAAGACGGCCCTACTGAAGTTCGGAGCAGTCCTATCAACAATCCATGGGATAGTCAAATTCAGCACAACCCAGGGACCGGGAACGATTTTAGCCACACCCCCAAGGGAGCTCAATTGTTACGAGATCATGCAACCAAAAGACATCTCAGCCGAAGCCAGGAGACCGAGACCGGATTTGTCGGACGGGGGAGAAGTAATCAGCAGCGAATACCCAGACCAGCGGGTGATCGTGGGAACAGCCCTCCCCGCGAAAACAAGAGGAGTGCTGGTCCAACTCCTACAAAAGTATAAGCACGTATTCGCTTGGACGCCCACAGACATGGTGGGAGTCGACCGGGGGATCATAGAACACAAGCTGATGAGAAAACCAGGAACCAAGGAGATAAAGCAGAAGAAACGGGTCCAAGGGGGGGACCGAAACAAGGAAATCAACGTAGAGGTAACCAAATTAACCAGTACCGGAATCCTTAGAGAAGCAATTTTCCCTACATGGATCGCCAATCCGGTAATGGTAAAAAAGCACGATGGTAGTTGGCGTATGTGCATTGATTACTCAGATCTCAACAAGGCATGCCCCAAAGACTGCTACCCGTTACCAGAAATAGACCAGAATGTAGAGTCTCTGCAAGGATTCCAGTGGAAATGCTTCCTAGACGCATACAAGGGGTATCATCAAATCTTGATGAGCAAAAACGACGAAGAGAAAAAACCTTCTACACAGACCATGGTACTTTCTGCTACACAAAAATGTCGTTTGGGCTAAAGAACGCTAGAGGAACTTACCAGCGACTCGTCGACTCTTTGTTCGCCAATCAAATCGGTTGGAACATCGAAGTCTATGTCGACGACATGGTCATCAAAAGCCCATACAAGAAGAAGTTGTTACGAGACATAGAGGAGACACTACAAACCTTGTAGAGAGCTAAGATGAAGTTAAACCCCGCTAAATGCACTTTCGGGTAGAAGAGGGACAATTCCTGGGGTATTATGTGACAAAGGAGGGAATTCAGCCAAGCCCAGCCAAGATAAGTGAGCTCGAGGAAACGCCTTCGCCTAGCACGCTAAGGGACGCGCAAGGTGATGGGTTTGAGCCATAAGAACTTTCCTATGTGCACATGCAAACCCTAATTGCTTGGATCTAGGTTTCTCTAATTGAACATGCATTGAATCCAAGACTTGCAATACTAGATCTAATGTAATATATTGAATCTAATCATATGAAATCAGATCTGAAAGAATACCTTGAATTACTTGCTTGATACTTCTTCTTCTTCTTGGAGCTTAGAGTCACAATTGTCACTCCTCTAATGGCTTACAAACACCAACTAGCAAGAAGATGATCTTGAGAGAGAGGGAGGAGGGATAGAAATCGGCCCTAGGGTTCCTTGGCTTGCAAGAGTGTCGATTTCTCCACCCCAAGGGTCCTATTTATACTATGAGCTATTAGGGTTTCTCCTTTAACCCTAATTGAATGACTTAGGCCCTAAGCAATCCAAGATCCTTCTAGATACAAGGCTTGGACGAATTTAAGGTTCCCAAACCCTAAATTTCGTCCACCCCAATATCCATAAGGATACATAGCCCAAAATACAACTATCACACATTTGACAGTTTATGCCCTTTATTCAATTAACCTCTTTAAGTCACCAAATTAATTCTCAATTAATATATGACTTATATTAATCAAATAATATTATTATTCCTTAAATATATATTATTCTCATAATATATTAATAATATCTCTTATCTCTTAACAAATCATTCTGTCAAGTTGCTATGGTGAAGGCAACCCAAAAGGACCATGCATAACCGGTTCAAGTACTTACCAAATATAGTTACAGCCTTAGACACTAATCCAACACAAGGCTTGAATGGAAAGCTAACAGCGCTCAACCAGTTCATTTCCAAGTCAGCTGAAAAAGCAATGTCGTTGTTCCATACGCTCAAAGGGTGCATAGAAAAGAATAACTTCCAATGGACGGCAAAAGCCGAATCAGCGTTACAGAAGATAAAAAAAGGTGCTACATGCACTCCCCACTCTGGCTAGCCTAATACCCGAAGAAATACTGTAAGTTTATCTGTCCGCATCAAGGGACGTCATTTCATCAGTGTTGGTAGTTGAGAGGCAGGGGTGGCAGCTCCCGATCTACTTTGTGAGCCGGGCCCTACAGGGACCTGAAATCAACTACCCAATCATCGAGAAACTGGTGCTCTCCCTAATCTACGTAGCGCGCATGCTCCGTCGATACTTCCAGGCCCACCAAATAGAAGTATTGACTAGTTGCCCGATCAAACAAGTGCTCCTGAAACCAGAAACGTCAAGACGACTCGCAAAATGGGCCATAGAATTGGGAGAGCACGAAATCAGCTATCACCCCAGAGTAAGCATCAAGGGACAGGCATTAGCGGATTTCTTACTCGAAATCCCAGGGGAACTCCAGCAAGAAGCAGCCAGCACGACCCCGCAAGGGGGGTCACAGGGGAAGACTGACCAGCAGTGGACTCTTTACACGGACGGGGCTTCCAGTAAAGAATGGTCAAGCGCAGGGCTAATCCTAACCGGCCCCACGGGCGAAGAAGTCACATACGCTTTATGTTTCGACTTCCGCACCTCCAACAACGAAACCGAGTACGAAGCCTTGCTGGCTGGCCTCAGATTGGCAGTAAAAATGGGGGCGGAAAGGGTTATAGCCTTGTCTGATTCACGCCTAGCAGCCAACCAAGTCTCAGGGGAATTCGAAGCAAAGGATAAACTAATGGAGAAGTATGTCAAGGCGGTACAACAAATCACGAGCTCGCTAAAGAGCTTCACAATAAAGCAGATTTCGAGGGGAAACAACAGGCGAGCAGATGCCCTCAGCAAGCTAGCGTCAACATGCTTTGGGCACCTTTCAAAAGAGGTATTGGTGGAGGTACTAAAAGAAACGATTATCGACGAGCACCAAGTTGATTCCCTATCAACATCACAACCCAACTGGATGACGCCCATCATGGACTACCTGCAGCACGACATGCTCCCCGACGACCACGAGGAGGCTCGAAA